TTTGACATAAATAACTAAGTAAATAATAGCTAGACAAAAATAAGCCCTTATAAAATGTTTAAAATGCTCCTTAATAAAAGTCTTAATTTCTGACATTGATGGTGAACATGGATGGGAAGCAAGATTTCCAGTGAATAACTTACATTTCAGTCTGTTCCTCACACAGAGCCATCATATGATTTCAGATGACTTAATAATTATTATTATAGAATAATAATTATTATGATGCTTTTATCATGTTTTTTTTTTTGCAGATTGACAGCATTGTTCACCATCGAATTTCATTTTATGTAAGAAAACACTGTGAACATTTTTCAAAACTTCTTTTGTGTTTGACTGAAAAAAAGAAAGTCACAAGTTTGAAACGACATGAGGGTGAGAAAATGATCACAAAACTTTCAATTTGGGGTGAGCTGTCTCTTTAAAACCTGTTGCACAGTAACACTGCAAGAGTAAGCACTGAGTAAGCACTCTTTTGCATATTTCTCCTGGTTCTCAATATTTTACAGCATGAATTATAATATTCTGTTCTTTGAAGTCTCCAGTAAGGCTTTGCTTTGACTGTGAGTAATTCCAAATGTATATTTTCCTCACGGCACGCTGGCACACACCCCATCTGCCGTGATTTAGGCCTAAAACAAACAGCTCAAACAGGCAGCACTGGATACAGTGGATGCCACTATCCACCAAGGTAACCGAGTTAGGATTGAACGCTGTCCCGGCAATTGGATTTCCATTGACAGATCCGTAGAAGCTGCAGACGTACAGAAACAGAGCGGCGAGGCAGTCAGGTGCTATCTTTGCTTTTTCACCCCTCTGCTTTTTGAAAGTATCTGACCAGAAAGGGCTGATATCTGCCTCAGTACTCGAAAAATGTAAGTCCGTTCATGTCAGTCGAACTTGGACATTTGTATTTGACCATCTACGCCGAGTGATTTATTTGAGCCGAAGGAAACACGGTGCACAAATTATGCTTTGCTAAGCGCTTTAAGGACCACTATTTTAGAGGGAGTGAGTCTTTGACCTTGAGGAACTTTGTTAGTCTTGGATCAGATGGTCAGTTTAATGCTGAGTTCAGGATGTTTACAGTTACAAAATACCAGTGCCAGACCCGAGCCAGGTCTATCATTTCATCTCATTACTTGTTGTCACAAGGGATTTTTCGCTCTCTCTGTCCATTCTGTTAATGGCATCAATGGCCCTTCACCTAGGGAGCACAGAACTTAAAATATGGGGAAAAAAAGAATGCATTTGCCCTTACAAAGTAATATTTAATAAAAAAAAAAAAGTTTGTTTACTGAAAATTACTTGTTATTCGCTTAAAAATATTATTATTATTATTTTAAAGGTTGTTTACTGAAAATTATTTCATCTGATACAGCAGATATTGTCATGTTTTGAGAACTTATTTAACATGGGGGAAAAAAAGATTTAAAAAAAAAAAAATGTATATTGCATGTTTGCAAAATTATTATGATAAACAAAGTCCTATATTTGGCAGAATATATTTGCACTTTAAAAACAGGCGTAATGACAGCAATTCATCAAACATTTACTCAGTGGAAATACTACTGAGAAATAAATGATTTTGGCAGGATGATAAACTCAGTCGTGAGAGAGATTTGTAGATAATCAGACAAAACAGGTGAAAATTGCATGAATAATTTGTTGAAACGAGAGTGAGACAACCGCACTGTTACACAGCGTGCTCCAGGGGTTGGAGTGTCGTCGTCTGTGGAGACGTGGCTGAATTTGACTAATGCTTCTCTCGCTGTGACCAATAGAGACGAATGTTACTTTAAATCCGAAATACTTAAATCCAGCTTTCGATGACTCCAGGCAAATATCATTAATCACACGGGGCCCACCTCGCTCAGCACGCGCGTGCACGACCAGATGATGGTTTTCCCTGACTCAATCCATCACGTACGTGTCGTGAGCGTGGGCCCTCGTACCGGCTGAGAGCCTCCATGTAGGGGCCCCGCTAAGTGAAAGAGTTACAACAGCTGTACCTGGCACTGGTCGGTGCTCTCAGAGCGGCCCGGCTCCCCACTTAGAATGTCATCCGGCTTGTTTTAAAAGAGCGTCACGCCATGGAGCCCCTCGTTTGATGTATCGTTCCTCATCTTTACAGTTTTGGGAATAACAGGTCTAACTTATCAATTTGGCACCTGAAATCCCACCGCTTACAGTTTTAGCACATCATGTGTGGGGGTGATGTCATCCTGTGACAGCATTTCCTCTTCTCATTACGGGACATTTTTAGACAGGTCAATACAAATGAAAAAGGGGGCCGTTTTAGAATATCCCATTTGCCTGAAAATGAATCAAGTTATCTCAAATTATTTCAGCACTAAGGTGTGCGGTGAAAACGCCGACGCGGAATAAGTACATTTCCGCCTCTCTCAAGAATTAAAGACCACTCTATGTTCACCACAGGCCTTGGTCGTACATAATCGTTCTTATTGTCTAAACATAAATGTTTACTGCAGATGGCATTGTGATATTTGGCAGAAAACGTGCCCATTTTGAAGACAACATGAGGGCAAAAAAAGGGGGAAAATGCTATTGCTATTTGTGAGTAATATTTAATTAATGACTTTCATAAATAATGAATAGAGCGGATGTAATTGCAGATGTTTTTATGATGACAGGCTTGGCTTCACTGGGCTTTTTTTTCTCCTCCCTCTTTTCAATTACCATCCAGAACAGGGGAGGCAGAGAGCAGAAATGGAGGGAAAGAGAGAGAGAAAGTGAGGAAGAGAAGAAGTGAGAGAGAGAGAGGCTGGTGGAGGCAGAATTAAAGAGGCTTTTTGTCGCGTTTAATATCAATTCATTCCATGGACTGCTGACACAGGCAGTCCAGAGAGCCCAGGATTTATGGCTCCCTCTAATGGGCATGCTCAGAATCAAAGGCCTGTCGTCAGCACTACTTAAACCACTCCTCTCTCACTCCCTCGCTCCGGCCCTCTCCTCTCCACTCCACTTTTAAAGACACACGCTCATTTACAGCTCTACAGCAGCAGTTCTCAAATATTTTGTGGCAGGAGCCAAATTTATGCCAACATAGCACCAAAATTTGAAACAAGCAATTTATAGTTATTTCTCTTATCTAGTATTGTCCGCTTTTAAGGATAGCGATATGTCACACAACCTGTCCATGTTGGCTTCTGTCTAATTTGGCGAGCTTCAACAGTGACAGATGACACCGTAGAGTCTGATATTAACAAAAAGCCGATTCATTTTTCTATCCTAACAATGCAAAATGATATGGTCACATGCAATTTATTTTATTTTTTGCATGGTTTTATTTCTGCAATTGAGAACCACATCTGTGAAGGGACACACAAACACACACACACACACACACACACACATACACACCAGACCAATGCGACTGCGTTAGTCATTTTGGTCTTATAAGGCAGCTTTGCATTGCTAGAAGAAAAGGTAAGATCAGTAAGGTGCACTTCAAGTTAACTCAGATTCTGTTTAAGGGCACAAGTAAAATTAAGTCTACATTAGGTCTCATTCACCATACATTCAAACATTTGTGGGCAAAACTTGTAAGCAAACATTTTCAAACAAAATTAAAGATCTATGAATATCACACTTTCTAAATTCAGACCACACCACTCTCTGTCTATCTCTCTATCCATCTATCTATATCTACTTTTCATAGATGAATAAAAATAAGAGTTTTATTAACATACATACATTTTGAATGTGATGGAAAATCGTCAATGTTTGCAGACATGTATGAAATTTGTATGTAAATATTAATGAATGAGACCTAATCTCTATCTACCAGGTTTCTAGTAATGTAACTGATCCACAGAGGAAACACCCCAGACAGACGGAAAACAACAATGACACTGAGACATACAGCGGATAAGGATGATATAGGAGAGAGAGAGAAAGCCTGTAAATGTAAATGGTGCAAAAATATGAAATTTCATATTTTGAAATTTCAATCCAACCTTTGGTTACAGCACAATTCACTCTTGAAAGAACATCTAACTCAAAACCAGGAAGATCATGAAACTGTATATTGAGGGGTCACCAGTAGCAGTCAGAATCATTTGCTGCCACTAGGCAAGACGAAGTGAAAAATAAATAAATAAATAAATGAAATAACATTTAAATACAAACAAACATACAATTTAACAATATGAGTGTAAGATATATTAGTCTAGTAGTACAATTTTTGCTCAGTATGAAAGGGGACCTGCAAGGAAAAGAGAAGCTTTGACATTTCGTCCAAGAGTTTGGAGCAACATGAGGGCGAGTTAATGATGGCAAAATTTTTAGCTTTAACTAACAAACAAATATGTGACTGAAAGAAATAGTTCAGCCAAAAATGAAAATTTGCTGAAAACTGACTGACCCTCAGGCCACCCAAGATGCAGATGAGTTGGTTTCTTCATCAGATTTGGAGAAATGTAGCATTAAAGCTGTGTAAAGCTGTGTAAAGCTGTGCGCTTTTGGCCAAAACACCAGTCCATAATTCATAATAATGCTTTCTCCAGTGAAAAGTCCATCCCCTGTTGTCCTCTCTCATCAAAATCCACCAACATATTAGTTTAGAACTGTTTTGGACTGTTTTTGCTTGTAAATGGTGCTTGATTTGTGCATATATCTCTCTTGATTCAGACTGAACAACTTTTTCATTGGAGAAAGCAATATTATGGATAGTGGACTCATATTTTAGCCTTAAAACGATGACATCTTAATGATGGATTTGTTTATTACAAACACAGCTTTTCACTTCACAAGTCGTTAACTGATGGACTGGAGTCATGTGGATTACTGTGATGTTTTTAGCAGCTCTTTGAACTCTGACGGCACCCATTCACTGCAGGGGATCCACTGGTCAGCAAATGATGTCATGCTAAATTTCTCCAAATCTGTTCTGATAAATGAACAAACTTATCTACAGCTACACCCACACAATGCATCTAGACAAACATTTAGTGCATGACCTTAACAAACACACTGACCTGCCCAACTGGGGGTCTCCATGTACAGCTGTGGCTGAGCAGGTGGGGTCTCACTGCAACCACAGAGGTGTCTGATTCCTAACGGAGAGAAAGACAGCAACAAGTTTTGAGCCTGAGAATGAAAGCCACACAATTACATGCAAACAAAAACATTTAATTCCTCAAAAAGTGGTATTTAAAATTTCCTTTGAATTAAGAACGAAGCCCAGTCTACAATAACAAAGAAGGTGAGCTCCCAATTTACATTACAGATTGCTCTGAAATTCTTAATTTTTTAGACTTGTTTAAATTGTTTTTTTTTCATTTCATATGCCCTTGTTATGATAATGTTTGAGGGAATTGAGGAACAGTCAGAAGACCTGCAGGGTCCAGATAAGCTCAGAACCCCACCAGAACCACCAAATCCTCTGCATGTACGGCAACCGTGCTTCATGCTACGCTGGTACTGAAGTGGATCTGCCATAACATTTGGAGCACACACACCAGCTTGTGTGCTTCCACACATAGTTACGGATAAATAAAGCGAAAAAAAAAAGGCACTCTTTGGATACGTAAACATGGAAGCTGCAAACGCACAAGGCATATATTAACCACAAACCCCTTCATGTCCTGTTAACCTTTTCAGATTGGAAACAGTTAAGTATGATAGTTGGATAAGAAGGATAATTATTCTGTTGGTCTGACCCGGAGAGAAAATGGGCATGGTGTCACTGTTAATTTAAAATCGACTGAACTAAGGCAGGTTTGGCTGTGTGTACATGATAGCAGGTGGCTTCAAATCACATTCTTATTTAGAGAAACACTGTAGTGAGTAAGAAATCACTTCACCCAGAGAAGTGTGAGGGAAGAAGAAGAAGAAGAAGAAGAAGAAAAATGAAACGGGGAAAAAGATGATAATGCTGCAACTTTTACTTGGACACAGAAAAATATACAACCCAACAAACACGAGGCCCCAGAGAGTGAATGCAGCACTCTGGACAAAAGACCCCGTTAGAGCATTACCGTAATTACACGGCCGTAATGGCCTCTATTGCAGGCTATTCAGATTAAATATGCATAGTGCCCCGTCCATATCCACGGGGCTTAAAAGTGTTGTTCCTATGTGTCATTTAATTGTTAGCATTAATCTGAAATATAGATCTAATGTGTTTATTGAAAACAGCACTCTGCCATGCTGGAATTGAATGTCTTTCTGTCTTTATTGCATATCATTCTTTCTTTAACAACTCGCTCACAAATCATCCACATTTTTTCCCGTTACCTCTTTTTGCCTCTTTTCCCATCACCCTTTCTGTAATTCTAAAAGTGACAGTTCACCCAGAAATTGTCTCTCACACCCATATGACTTTTTTCTTCAGTGGAACTCAAAAGGATAAACTCTAAAAAATGTGCTGGTTGCTCTTACAATAAATGAGGACTGAAACATTGAGGCTTCAAAAACAGATGAAAAGCACCTTAACAGCGGTGAAGTCTTACGACGCCGTAAGTGAGAGAAACACATTTGTGTTGCTCTTCACTCAATTCAGTCCATGAGTTGAACTTGAGAACCGATTTGTGAAAGAAAAATTCAGTTTTTGTGAACCAAATCAAATGATTCATTTGAAAAGATCTGAAAAATCTCTACTTATCTCATGAGCATGCCAAGAAGAGCCAGACAGGATTGAATAATGAATAAATACTTAAATATTTGTGTGTTTCTTCACAGAAAGTATGTTGTATGATTTCATTCAAAACTATATGGACCACTTTTATGACGCTTTTCCATCCTTTTTGAAGCATCAAAGCATTAATCATCACTTATTGTAATTGCATGCAAATGAAAACAGTGCTCTGAGTTTTCTTTTAGTAAAGTTATAAAGGGTTAAGAATAGATAAGAGTGAATAAATGATGAAAGAAAATTTGAATGTCATTTTTGGATAAACTATTCCTTTAAAAATGACATCTAACCCTCTTTTTTCCTTCCTCCCAAAGTCCATTCTCTCTGTGTCAGTCTATCTGAGAGAGGCTGTAGTTCTCTGTGGGGAAGTGTCTAATTTCATTCCGAGTGTTCCCCTCTGTGGTCAAGAGTAGAACTGAAACCCGGAGACGCAGGAAGTCTTCTGGGAAATCCAGTTCACTACAGACTCGGTGAGAATTCATTTCTGAAGAATTTCGCTTCGCTTGCCTGAAAACAGGCTCATAGGGTGGCAATGAAAAACAGAGGTCTCTGCATGTCAACAAAACCCTGAGCGTATTTGTGTCCATCCACCGAACCCAACGTGTATAAACACAAATGCTCCTTTCCGAAACCTAGCGAGATGCCTACGGAGACAGCATTTTAAGGTGAAGGCTGTTTCAAAGGGTATAAACAATATTATAAAACACCTCATTTGAACCAAATACTAAGATAACATTGCATATATATGCTTTGCAGATAGGACAATCCCAGAATGCAATGTAACAAACTCAATGGAGGAAAGAAAATCCATGATAGCAGACAAAAAAAACACATATTTCATTCAATACTGAAAATTTAACTAAATATTTTTACCCAGCATTTTTGTGTCGTATTTATTGTAAGCCAAGGCTATCCCATGAGGCCACAGGAGAAGATTTGTGAATGGCAGTTAAAGGTGGGGTAAGCGGTTTCTGGTAGCCAATGTTGACATTTGAAATCACCAAAACAAACACACCCCTACCCCCAAAAGGGTCTCGCCCCTATTTTGATAGCTCCACCGCACACATACGTACGCAACCCAGGCAACGATTAGTTCTGTGAAACAAAGCAAAACCAATGTTACACCTTGTCTTGCTGATTGGCTACAAGTTTGTTTTGCTAGTCTGCCCGAATCAGTTTTATAGTGTTTTTGAAAAATCGCTTACCCCACCTTTAAGAAAGACAACTGAGGCTGGTAGGTCACATGACAATGACAACATGAAGAATGTAGTATGTCCAGATTAAATTCATACAACACAAATTCATACTACAGAACATACTTTTTTAATGGTTGTGAAGCAATTATTCAAAAGAAGTATGTACTCAGTGAGTATGTGAGTTTGGATGAAGCAAGTGAGTGAGCAGAGCATCCCAAATCATTCATTTATGAGGTTTAATCACAGTTACGATGCCAACTTAGAAGACAGCTGTCGGTGTAGGCAGCCTACTAGGTACTTCAAATTCGACAAATTTCACAAACTAAACTGTGTTTGAAGCGGGATTGATAAAAGTAATTAAAATTAAGGATGGAAGATGATAAATTTTGCTCATTTATAAGAATATCCTACTGGTGTCTGATGCATTAGCGTTTGCTGATATGCTAGTGCATCAATGCGTCCATTGCGGCCTGACACTCAACCTTTTGAACAGATATTGATGGATCGCAAAGGAACTCACGCAATAACAGAGACACACGCCAACACACACACATGAACAAAGCGTGTGTATTGATTTCATCCAAACAGAGCTCATATCTCACAGCCCTCTGTCTCCCTCCTACACTGTCTCTCTCTGCCTGTAATGAATTACCATGCACTGGCTCCAGTATTTTTGGGAACAAGGCCAACATAATTTGTTATTTCATCATAAGTAATTAAAAGCTGTTTCTTTTCCTGTTGTGTCGGAGCTGATTAATTATTTGGACCGTAAAAAGGCATAAATAACACAGAACTGAAGAGTGCCATGGAAAAAAAAAAACAATAAAACAACCATCACTCGGACTACATTGATGTCGCAAGCAAAAAGAAAATAGCATCCCACTAAAGTCTATTTGCCCAGCTATTTAGTTTCATACACAATAAATAAACCGTTGGCTGCTGTATGATGAGAACAGTGCAATAACAAATGTTATATCTCAACTATGAAAGGTCTGCAGACGAAAACTAGCCGCCTGACATGCCACAGGTGTAATGCAGACATGTGCATTTATTTCAATTGTTCACAGTTCGAATGTGTATTTTAGACAACATTTTGTGTCATGTGATATTGCAAGCATGATTTCAAGTGAGATTTATGCAATTTCACACGCGCAAAAGCGGCTGCGACAGTCTAATCACAGCCATGAGATATTGCTTTTCTTACAACTTAAACAGTGTTAATATTGCGTAACTTACATTTTTAGATGCAGACAATTTCCAGTTACTTTGCCCATATTTGCCCTGACAACGAAAATAGTTACAAAGTAAGTAAAACACAAACAACTGTTGCGCAACTCCAAGCAAACACACACAGAGCTAAACCATTGTTTTGAATGAATCTGTTGAGAAAATGATTCAGTGACTCTTTCATAAAGACAATGGTTTGGTTTCTGAATCAATCAGTGTTTTTGAATGACTCGGTTGACTGAATGATTCAATGACTCATTCATGAGAACAGTCATTGGTCTTGTTCCCAAATGAAATCACAATTTTGAACAAAGTATTTGAATCGCTCTCTGATAAAACTTGTCACTTGACTCCACTTACTGGTGTTTGTAACATGCAGTAACATGCAGAGTTACTGAAAATGTATCACCAATGTGCAGCTCAGTCAATAAACTCCAATAAACGACCAGAATACTAACCTAACCTAAAAGAGCCAAATTAGAGATTGCAGACTTTAAATTCTGTCTAACATTAAATAGACACATACTGTTGTAAGAATAAAGGGGTCAATGGTTTTCCAATTTGATGTTGCCGATGAAGTTATTGGCACAAAACATGATAATAATAATAAAAAAAAATAAAAAAAAAAGTATCATACCAATGGATTAAAATGCCGTTTTGGCAATCAATGAATAATTCTATATAATAGCAGACTGTAAAAATAAATAAATAAGATGGAATACAAAACAAAAGAGAAATAAAAGTTATTCAGCCAAAAGAGCTTTATGTTCCATTAGAGAAGCCATTCCATGTCAGAAACTGAGGCTGAATTGATTTAGCAATACACATTTTAAAGATCAGAAGACAGAATAATGCTTTTATCAGTTCCTTGTGTGCAAAATAAGAAGTGAAGGATGTGCTTCTACATCTTTTCAACAGAGGATGAGAACATTTTGTGTGTGGTGGGGGGGATAAAAAGTGGCCAGGGCAGTGGCACGGCATAAAAGAACAATTTAAC